CAACCATTATACAGTAACCAACCATTATAGAGTAACCAACCATTATAGAGTAACCAACCATTATACAGTAACCAACCATTATACAGTAACCAACCATTATACAGTAACCAACCATTATAGAGTAACCAACCATTATACAGTAACCAACCATTATACAGTAACCAACCATTATAGAGTAACCAACCATTATACAGTAAGTTATTTAACAACATTTTTGAAAAGTTTCTTCTTGGACTACTTCTATCATCAACAACACTAGTTTTACTTCTTGGACTACTTCTATCATCAACATCACTAGTTTTACTTCTTGGACTACTTCTATCATCAACAACACTAGTTTTACTTCTTGGACTACTTCTATCATCAACATCACTAGTTTTACTTCTTGGACTACTTCTATCATCAACAACACTAGTTTTACTTCTTGGACTACTTCTATCATCAACATCACTAGTTTTACTTCTTGGACTACTTCTATCATCAACAACACTAGTTTTACATACCCTCATCTGATATGCCATATATCTCTTACTGAAACATAACATTTCACCTCAATCTGTAACATGGAGTAGCTTTCATCAGCCAAAACTTTGATTTCTACACGTTTTTCTGTCCTTGAAACTATGAGTGCAAATGTCATACTACTGCTGGGAATAGTATGACTACTTGTATTTTTATAGACGTTACATTGGTATTGTGTTGTCTAACTGGTTGAATGACAATAAGTCATAGTGTAAATTATCAACACGTGCGATCTGGTGTAGCTTATTTTCGTACAAGAGAGACAGATAAATCTCATAATGCTTGTTTTTTATACCCATTTACTCACTGTTTCCACAATAATATACAATCTACTTTATATACTACAGTCCTTCCACTCTTCCCATTCGTTTCTTTATCTCCCGGTGGGACAGCTATAAATCTTTGGATTTAAAATACTAAAATCAGGCTTTGCTATAACACACACACACTTTCTTCTCTTTGTTTTATTTTCTACCGGTTTTGTGACTTCAAAGGTAACTTTTGAGGATGTAATTTTACTTATAATCTATAATAAAAATACTCAAACACCACTTTTCAACTAAACTTAATAACCTGAAAAAAACATATTTTTTAAAATTTACAAACATAAAATACATGTATTAGATATAGTAGAATATACTCAAAAAATAAATAATTTAACATTATCAAGTAAATTTTCCTTTCTTTTCTATTCTTTAAGCATTTTTCTTTTGATGAAAATTTTTTAAATTATATTTTCTCCTGTTGTTATAGACAAGAAGTTTATTTCTATAATATTGAACAATTTAATACAAAACAAATCTCTTACCTGTTATATTTTCCCTCTTTTTAACTCCTAGTTGCACAATTTCAACTAACCTTACTCAAATTATATATATTAACATATGAAATGTTTATTTGTATTTTTGACGAAAAGTTGCGTAATAGGCTGCATAATATGTGTATACCACAAGTATCGAACCCCAAATTCTAGCTCACTGCTTAACTTATGGGAAGAGCAACACAATTCAGTCGGTAGCATTAGTTAAACATCTCAGTACACATTGATGGGTCCTTATCCATGTATAATTCCTTACATCTCCAAATGTGTGTGTGCGATCATTCAACCTAGTCTAACACTGATGCAAAGCATATTAACCCTAGGAATAGAATTTCACGAAGAATTTACTAGACACTACACACCATCTAAGGATGATTAATGTTTAAAGAATCATTTTGTGTTAAAGACTTTTTTTATATTTTTCACCTTTCCGATTAATAAGCTAGGTGGCGTTTTGATTTATATAGCTTTTTCCACTCTGAGAGAGTTAACTTGTTCCAGTATGGACACTAACATGTACTATAAGCAAGCCTGTCTACCTGTATTCCACTTAACACCATGAAACACGACTTATTAGTTTTCAGGATCCGTCCTTCTTGAGAACCTATTGTTGTTGAACTGATTTATTTGGAAAACGTAACCTCCGTGATTGCCTTACAGGTTCCCAAGCGGACATTAGGAAGGAAAAGTGCGTGTAGCAAACTCATACATGACGATAGCAGTTGTCATGGTAAACCAGTGCGTGTATCAAACTCATACATGACGATAGCAGTTGTCATGGTAAACCAGTGCGTGTAGCAAACTCATACATGACGATAACAGTTGTCATGGTAAACCTAGCAAACTCATACATGACGATAACAGTTGTCATGGTAAACTAGCAAACTCATACATGACGATAGCAGTTGTCATGGTAAACCTAGCAAACTCATACATGACGATAGCAGTTGTCATGGTAAACCAGTGCGTGTAGCAAACTCATACATGACGATAGCAGTTGTCATGGTAAACCAGTGCGTGTAACAAACTCATACATGACGATAACAGTTGTCATGGTAAACTTACATGTTAGGTCACATCTGTATCTGGTACCTTTCTTTACTTTGTGTATGTTTGGTACATTTGTAGAGCTAATTAATCCCATTTGTTATATATTGTTTCAGTACACTCAGAAGTTCAAATAACGAGTTGCAATTGCATGATTAGAAGTATAGAAATACTAATTAGGAGCATACTATTTCTAAATTAAATTTTATTTCGATTTCTTTAATTTTGATATTGTAATATTTTCATGAGTGTTATGTCTCTAATAGCGCTAAAAAAGACAGCTAGATGTTAATGTAATTGTTTTGGGGTATGTAGGTGAATCAGATAGAAAAAAAATAAGTAGGATTGTTGGCTGAAAATTAATTTTGTCGTAGATGACAAAAATACATATATAGAGGAAGAATGATTGAAGATCACGGTAGACTTTGATCGGACGTTGTATTTTAGTTTGACTGTTTGTTAGTAATGCTATAGCTGAACAATTAAACTACGTCATGGGTCATCCCATGTTTACCTTTGGAGCTCTTTTCATATTCTTGGGTTGTGATATTTTTTATCCGTTGCCCTGTTTTGTGGCATATGTAATTTTAACTTTTTAGTTGATTTTACGTTGCTAATATTATAAGTCAGCAGAATTTCATCACGTAATTAGTCAAAAACGACATAATTTAGAACTTCAAATATAGAGTAATAAAAACATGTAAGGCTTAAACCTAAAAAAAAACTCCCAAATAATTGCTCGTATCTTACCGTCCAAGTTTTGTTTTTGTTTTGGCTACTGCTATGTAACTGTTGGAACAAAAATATGTAAACATCTTGGAAGGTTTGTTTAATTAGAATGACTGTTTTGCATTTGCATAGTTTGTAATTTGAGCTTAATCAAAGTACCCTAAATTGGCCATACTGTAAGGACCGAGAACATCGTTAGGTTATCGAGGGTGTCAACCAATGAATTAGTTTCTAACAATTTAGGACACAAACTACAAATTCTCGTATTCATCACTAAAGAATAGTGTCTCTCTCAAACTAAACTGCTGTTGCTAAATTATTTCCCAATTTTTTGCCTCTCAGTGCACTTAGTGTATTCTTATTGTAATGTTTACAACTTTTTTATTGGTTGGTAAAGGAACCGGATAAACGGTTTCTTTTAACTTTAGAGAAGATGCTAAACCCATCTTTACTTAATATCAGGAAAGACATAAACATTCCGAAAATTGTTTAGTTGTTGAATGACAAAAGAATCTGAAGTACTGTGAATTCAACAAGGAAAGAGGCCCGGTGGTTAGGGCGCAATCTGAGGGGTTGCGGGTTCGAATCCCCGTCACACCAAACATGCTCACCCGGTGTCCGAACTAGAACGCCTGTCTTACTCCCGGATATTCACCTCCAACAGAATTTGGAGGTGTGAGAACACCATACGAAACAAAAGAAAAAACAAGGAAAGACAAAGATATTTGAAATGATTATATCTTAAAAACTACTCATTCAATGAAATCAAATTAATCAGGGCACATTGAGAATCAAACACTTTATACAGGAATGCTTGGTGCAGCATTTTATTGTTTTTATTTTTCTATTCTTTACCTCCCTTTCAACAACATGAGGCTGCCGATTTGAATAAAGTGTGTGTCAGCTATTGCGAGAATAATAAAACAATATACAGACGAGATGACATTTGAAGTTGTGTGCTGGACGTGCCATTTGATTATTGTACCCAGACTGTGAATTCAAAGGTTCATGCTTCCCGTTGCGGCCCCCACGAATACGCCCCTAGTTTGCTGTGATTTCTTTTAGATATACACTTGCTATGCTGATTCAGAATGACAGAAACATAATTGAGCGCCTATGTTTTCTGAATAAAACGTTCAATGTTCACTGTGCTTCTGGTCAGGTTTAGTTCTCCTAGAACTGATAGTTTTAAGAAAAAAGTCCTTTTAAATATGAGGATTTCTTTATATTCACACTAAACTTTAACGGGCAGATTTGTTTTTAGTTCGTGTACAACAACAGTAATATTGGTAAGAAAACCAGCGAGAATTTTTTTTTAAATTTATGCCTTGTTCCAATGTCCAAAATAGTAAGTAACCAATGTTTGTGGTTAGGTGGTTAGGGTACTCGCCTCGCAACCTGAGGGACATGGGGTCGAATCCCCGTCATACCAAACATGCTCACCCTTTCATCCTTGGGGGCGTTATTATGTGACGGTCAATCCCACTATTCGTTGGTAAAAGAGTAATCCAAGAGTTGGTGGTGGGTGGTGATGACTAACTGCCTTCCCTCTAGTCTTACACTGCTAAATTAGGGACGGCTAGCACAGATAGCCCTCGTGTAGCTTTGTGCGAAATTCATAACAAACCAAACAAACAATCTTTTTTTTTGTTTTTTTAAGAATTCAATTTTTCGGTCATTTATAGTTCATGTACTGGCATGTGCACAACTTTCTTGAGTGTAATTGAAGTGCTTTTATTTAATCAAGGTTGTGAAGAAAAAGTATAAATAATTTAATAAAACCGAGTAACTCTTTATTTGTTCTTTGTCACAACTGTGTTTGGTCACTTTAGGAACGACTTGTCAGTTTCCGGCGCATTGGACAGGTAGCTGGTTTCTGAAGGGGTTCAGAGATCCAGTTTACATCAAGAACGGTGCATTATCCAGTAGGGGCGTCTGCCGAAAAGTGGAAGGTGAAAAGTTCCTAATAGAAAGCAAGTAGGTAGCCATTTTTGAATGGATAAGTTCTCGCTATCATTTAATGAAGCTGTGAACAGTTAAAATGATATTGGATACACATAGTGATGATAAAGTATTTTTTTTTTTTTTTACTTGGAAGAGTCTGTAAGACCAATTGTGTAACACACTGATGAAATATTTTGCAATATTTTTAATACCTAAAATCAGAATTATTCCATTTGTTTCTGGAAGCTACACTAGAGGGCATCACCTTTGAAACTGTTGAATGCTGCGACCATCATTTTCAACTCAGATAATAGTTACTAAACCACAGTTGATAGCATAAAACCACACTACCGATAATTACTAAATCACAGCTGTTAGTTGTTACACTACAGCTGATAGTTACCAAACCACAACTGATAGTTACTAAATAACACACCTGGTAGTTATTACACTACATATTTAGTATTAAACCACACTACTGATAATTACTAAACCACACAGTTGATAGCACTAAACCACAGCTGTGAGTTGTTACACTACAGTTTATAGTACTAAACCACGCTACTGATAATTACTAAACCACATAGTTGATTAATTACTAAACCACAGCTGATAGTTTATAAACCACAGCTGATAGTACTAAACCACAGCAGAGAATACTAATCCACACAGCAGATAGTTACTAAACCACACAGAAGATAATTACTAAACTACAGCTGATAGCACTAAGCCCCGCAGCTGGTAGTTACCAAACCACACAGTTAATAGTATTAGACCACAGCAGATAGTAACAGCTGATAGCACTAAACCACAGCTGGTAGTCATTACATTACAGCTGACAGTAACTAAACCACACAGCGGATAGCACTAAACCACAGCTGGTAGACATTATATTACAGTTGATAGTATTAAACTATAGCAGATATTTACTAAGCCAAACAGCTGATAGTTACTAAGCCACTCAGCTCACAGCACTAAACCACACAGCTGATAGCATTAAACGACACAACTGATAGTTACTAAACCACAGCTTATAGCACTAAACCACACAGCTGATAGTACTAAACCACAGCTGATAGTTACCAAGCCACACAGCTGATAGTTACTAAACTACACAGTCGATGGCCCTAAACCACATTTGATGGCCCTAAACCACAGCTGATAGCACTAAACCACAACTAATAATTGCTAAATCATAGTCGATAGTTACTATAAAACAGCTGATAGCATTAAACCACACTGTTGATATTTACTAAACTACACAGTTATTAGTTACTAAACCACACTGCTGATATCACTCAACCACAGCTAAACCACAACTGATAACCACCAAGGCACACAGGGGATAACACTAAACCACATTGCTGATAGTTACTAAACCACAAATGATAGCATTAAACTAAAGCTGATAGTTACTAAACCACATTACTGATATAATTTACCATACTGATGATAACACTAAACCACACTACCGACAGCAGTAAACGAAAGTGCTGATTGGTGGTGGAATGAGTGGTATCTTAATTTTTACTTCTTTTTTTTTTTTTTTGTAAACCTGAAATTTTGTTTTCTATTTTTAGTGACGTATTCATATATAATGTTAGTCTAGTTTCTAGACGATCATGAGTAAAGTTTGCGCTTGGATTTTATTATTTACTGCTGTGTATCTAGTAGAGAGGAAATGTTCTTTTTTCTTACTTCTTAGATCTGAGTCCTGCTTCCGGTGTGTTGTTATTCACGAAAGACACGAAAATGTGTTGCAGTTTAAGGAAAGTAAGTACGTGATGATTTCATGACTTTTTGTACTACAGATTAAGTAAAATTAGTACATGATGCTTTTATGACTTTATGTGCTACAGTTTAAGGAAAGTAAGTATGTGATGATTTTATGACTTTATGTGCTACAGTTTAAAAAAGTAAGTACGGGACGATTTTATGACTTTATGTGCTACAGTTTAGGGGAAGTAAGTACGTGATAATTTTATGACTTTATGTGCTACAGTTTAAAAAAGTAAGTACGGGACGATTTTATGACTATGTGCTACAGTTTAGGGGAAGTAAGTAGGTGATGATTTTATGACTATGTGCTACAGTTTAGGGGAAGTAAGTAGGTGATGATTTTATGACTTTACGTGCTACAGTTTAAGGAAAGTAAGTAGGTGATGATTTTATGACTTTATACCCATGTTGTGGTTAGCTTTAGAGTTGTTAGCTTTTCTGTTTGGTGTTATCAAAATCTGAGGTAAGATCACGTGTGGAAAGCCTGCATGCTACGAGTGCAAGCCAAAGCACCGGGGCGGTTGTTTAAGTATTCGTGTTGAATCTCTTACTGTTGCATGTTGATCGGCGATTTTTAAACAGAAGGGAAAGTGGTTTGGTTCGAAAAACATGAGTTTATTATTAATATTTCCTTTTTTGTTTCATTCTTTAGCATACTGTTCTTCGAAATGTGACTCAATGTTTCCTTTTTTGTTTCATTCTTTAGCATGGTGTTCTTTCAACAGTGACTCAATATTTCCTTTTTTGTTTCATTCTTTATCATACTGTTCTTTCAACAGTGACTCAATATTTCCTTTTTTGTTTCATTCTTTACCATAATGTTCTTTCAACAGTGACTCAATATTTCCTTTTTTGTTTCATTCTTTACCATAATGTTCTTTCAACAGTGACTCAATATTTCCTTTTTTGTTTCATTCTTTACCATACTGTTCTTTCAACAGTGACTCAATATTTCCTTTTTTGTTTCATTCTTTAGCATACTGTTCTTCCAACAGTGACCTAGAACAGAAATGCCGTGAAATCAGCGGAGATGCTCCACTATACTCTATGTTCAGGCGTGAGTAAAGCAAAATGTTAAGTTATTCTTTACTTTTCTTCAAATTTACATACAAACATTTTTTTATTAAAACAACTTCTAAATTAATTGCATCAAACTTGCCAATAATGCGTTTTATTGGTGCTTTACATAACAAGTACTATAAAGTTAGTCAGTTACCAGTGAAGCACCAATTAAAATATCTTAAAAAATTGATCTTTACTCTCCAATAATAAAAAAAAACTTTTTAGCCAACGTTTCATCATTGTGATTTCATCAGAGCTAGTAGTACAATAACTGTAATAGTTCCTGTGCTACCAACCATGGTGAAACCGCAATGGCGAAACGTTGGTTGAAATAAAAATCCATTATTATCTGGAGAGAAAAGGTTGTTTTTTTTCAACTTTCTAAATTCCTCCAGAATGCATTACAAATTCCGAAAATTTTGAAAATATCTGGTATTTGTTTTTCTTCTACGGCTTTCAATTTTTAGTGTCTGCTTTGTTAATTTGATCTTAAATAAGAATGAAATAATAAGACTTTCATGATGATTAGATTGCTACACATGGTGAAACATTAGTCACACACTTATGAGACGATTCGTCTTTCTGTTTTTTTTACAGTTAACACCACGCCAATAGCTTGTCCTTTCAAGGATTCCTTCACTTTTAGTTATAGTCGAGGTTACGGAGAGTGTAGCAACCCGATTTCGACAGTTGACTCTTGCAATAACGATTCTCAACTTTTCTTTAAGTTCCAGGCATGCGTAGATGTGCGCAACTCGGAAAGTAGAGGTATGATCTTTTGTTACTATAACCGGTTCTCACTTCTTGACTCTGAATATAAAAAGTAGGCTGCTTTCAAATGAACACGACTGTTAGGTGTCTTCTTTATGTTGAAGATGTTTTGTATTTCTTTATGTCATTGGTCTTACAATTCTGAGTATTTATATTAATACTGTAGCTCCTTATTTTTAACGTTCTATGAATCAAATCTAATTTACTATTTGGGCTATCTTTTTACGTTCTAATATAGGAAACAGTTCAAAATTCTTAATGTCAAGTCAATGTCTACTACCCGCAGTGGCCTGACAGGGAATCTCAAGGTCCACGATTCACGACCCATTGCCGCACAAACACACTCCTCACTTCTAGACCGTGGATGCGTTATAAGAGTGACAGTCAACTTCCACTATTCGATTAGAGTAGCCCAATAATTGATGTTGGTTGCTAGTTACTAGCTGCCTTCCCTCTAGCCTACCAGATTCAACACCAGGGTCAACTATTCGAGTACAGTAACCCAATAGTTGATGTTGGGTACTGGTTACTAGTTTTCTTCCCTCTAGTCTACCAGCTCCAATATCAGGAACGGGATATCACTGATATTTTTTGTGATAGTTTTGCTCGAACTTCTGAAACAAATTAACCGTAGAAAAAATCAACAAACTAGAATTAGGTTTTCTCACTAGTTTACAAACGGTTTGACGAAGCGTCTTAAAAACTAAATCCTCTTCGTCAGATTAATATTTTATTGTAGCTAATGATACTTTTCTTATTGTTGTTAGTATCAAGTTGGGTTTCAATTACTTTATGCTTTCCAGAAGAGAAACTGACATGCTATGGTACTTGGAAGGAAGGTTCTACGCGGTACCTAGTTGCTAAACTGGAGCATAAAGATACAATAACAGAAGAAGATAAATTTCGTTGTTTCGTAAGTCCCACAAATCCTTTAAATTGTTTAACATAGAGGTAATTATATGTATATTTCTATCGAAGATTTATATAGTGTATTTTAGACTTTTATTGATCGAGTTTTTAGAGAGCTGACAAGGCATAATTCATTCAGATGAAGCCCGTAATTATTTGTGAATTTTATAAGATCGTCACGTTGTTCTAAAACGTAAGTGATGATCCGATAAAAAATAATTATTCATGAAGAGATAGGCAAATAAGCTAATATCCACTGGGTGTCGACACTTTGTTAAAGATCATCCTGCTAATATCCACTGGGTGTCGACACTTTGTTAAAGATCATCCTGCTAATATCCACTGGGTGTCGACACTTTGTTAAAGATCATTCTGCTAATATCCACTGGGTGTCGACACTTTGTTAAAGATCATCCTGCTAATATCCACTGGGTGTCGACACTTTGTTAAAGATCATTCTGCTAATATCCACTGGGTGTCGACACTTTGTTAAAGATCATCCTGCTAATAT